TTTGTAGCCTAAGAGCAATAGGCTATGCCATATAACCTAGGTGTGCTATACCATCTAGGTTTGAGTAAGTACACTCTACGACTTTTGCATAAGGGTAGAATCACCTAACACCACATTTCTCAGAATGTATCTGCATCGTTAAATGACACATGACTGTATATATATCATAATATCATAATAATATTGCTAAAAGTTATTATTTATACTGTGAACTAAAATAAAATCTTAAGCCCCCCAGCTGACTGAATGGACACCCTCTTGGTAAGGGGACCTGAGAAATACCCTAAAGCTGAGTTGCTGGTCATGAGAAGGGAGGTCAGACATGCCTCGTCATGCCCACTTGTAGATGTCCTTTGTAACTCATTAAGAGGCCTAAAGCTATGCAAGACAAAGCTTAAACCATACCTGCAAGTCATCAATTTACTTAACAGATCACTTGAGTCTGGGTATACGTCCGATGGTTTGTCTCTGATTAACAGACTTCCTTAACTTAAAACATTCCAAGCCTTTAGACAAAGCTTCGCTTCTTTAACCAATTACAAATCAAAGAATCTTTAAACTCACCTATAACCTGTAATCCGCTGCTTTGAGATGTCCTACCTTTTTGGGCCGAACCAATGTATGACTTCCATGTATTGATTTATGACTTTATGTGTCATTCCTGCCTCCCTGAAATGTATAAAACCCAACCACAGCAAGACCACTTGCTCAAGGCTTCTTGGGTGTGGCTCTCCAGGTCATGGTCACACATATTTGGCTCAGAATAAGCCTCTTTGAATTATTTTATAGAGTTTGGGTCTTTTTCCATTAACAATACTTTCAGCCTCACGAAATTCATATGCATTAGCAATCGATCCTTAAAAGCATATATTTATAGTATATAATACTCATAATGTAACACACTTAGGATAAAAGAAAGAAAATGCATGTTTTCCTAAGTCACTATGATTCAAGAATTAGAGGGAAATTTTCCCAGACATATATTAATACTAAGGAATAACAGCCTTTCTCTTAAAATCAAAAACATATTTATATCACCAGGAGTTAAAATATAAGATACTTACAGCTCCTTCTTGATCAACATCAGCTCCCATGGCCAATAAATGTTTCACGCATTCCAAATGACCCTTTCTTGCTGCCCAAACCAAAGGGGTTGTTCCATACTATTAAAACAAACAATAAATTTAAAATTATCAGAGGTGTACTAAAAGAATCTAGCTCTCAACATGAATTTTAATAAAAATCTTACTCGAGTATTCTCAGATAACTGCATACACTAATCATAACTTTAATCCTAGATAAATCCTATTTCTCCTGATTTATTTCTCCTGAACAGATGATTAACCACTGCATGAAGTGTCTTTTTAACTTTTATGAGTGACAATTTTTCCATCAAAGTCATACAGCCCCAAATTTTCAATTCACATACCTTAGGAAATAGAATTTAATGTCCAATAGACTGATTGTAGGTGAAAATAGTAACAACCAAGTGCCAAACTGAATTAGTTCTATTTTACATGGGTTAACACACATAATCCTTACCACAAGAATAAGTACAATTCGCAATATCACATTTTCACAGACGAGGAAACTGAGCTCCTGAGATATTAATCAATAGGCTAAAGTCACAAAGCTATCAAGTGGTGGAACAAGAAAGACCCATGAACCCAACAAGTCTGGCTTCAGAGTCTGTGCTCTTAACTACCACCCCCAGCCAAAATCGGCCTC